TTATAGCGTTACAAACATTCGACATAGTTGCGTACAAATATTTTAAAAAATAATTGAAACACCCTGTTCTTTTCAATGAAATCGAAAAACTGTGCCCGGCAAATGTGAAAGAATCAATATCAATACAAAACTACGACTACCACTTCGGTCGCAGGTTAGCCGGTACACGGTAGCCGGGTTTACAGTAAGGAGTTTTCTATTCTGGGGCAAGGGCAGGAGAAAACAAATAGGAACACTTTGCTAATCTGAAGTGTTCCTAAAGTGCTTCCGAAGTACATTTTTTGTCAATTTGAAATTAGCTATATAATTATAATATTCTCAATCCGGAAGATATTATTTTGGTCCAAATTAAACATTTTAATTTACTTCAAAGAACAAACTTCAGTATACAGATTATTTTCAAAACCTTTTCCAATAATCTGGATACTGATACTATATTACAACAAACAATTATTACGAAAATCATATTGGTCTGGCCTATAAATTGAAGAGAAGCGTTTTCAAAATATAATACTATCTGAGATTTTAAAAGAATTTCGACAAATACCAAATAAGAGCGGTAGTTTGTAATGTCATCAGTTGAGTTTCTTTTAAAGACTACAAAACTGTTCAAAATTTTGTTTCGACAGTTTCTTTACGAAGCTCCCAGCCGTCCGCAAACACCAGAGCCGCAGTAGACACCACAAGAGGCCAATACTGACGGCAGGGCAGCCGCCGACGATGCACTGCAGAAATAAAAAATTCACCGGTTTCGAAATTCGGAAAAAAGAATCTGAAAAAATGCAACTGCAATACAAAATCACAGTATCGCATCAGACTACCAAAGAGGCTAATTGTCCAAACATAAAGCAGATATCGCTACAGGTCACCCATGAAGGAATGGCATCAAACGTCCACCCTGGTATAGTCTTTCCGATCTCAATTGAAGACCAAACCTGGTACATACTGCCTAGGTATGTACCAAGTTCGATCATTACTCAACAACTCGGCACTGAATTATTTGAAAAACCTGTTCCTATATTTATTTAGCCATACCCATACATATCTGGTTGCCCAGTTGAAGAATGTGCGCGCGGGCAAACGCAACACACAGCCGTACTGGGCGAACCACCATAAATTTCAGTTGTCAACAAATTGCCTAGCAGTGCAGTGCAGCAATGCGGAATTTAATGCTTTTCAGCTAATTTTAATTTATTATAGGCACCTTCTATCAATCATTCATAGTACAATTCTGAAAGGGAGAAATAAGAGGGATATTTACTTTACTAATATTATTACATGTCATTTTGGAGACCTTTTGAAACGGAACAAAACGAAGTACCACCAGACAATACTGAATTAGTAGAACCAGTTGTTGACGCCAGATTTAGAATTTAAAAATAAAGATTTACATGTTCAACGTCAGCATCTCATTTTAAATATTTATGATTGTTTAAAAAAGAAAAAAAAATGAAAAATCGTATAATGAAATTATAAATTCACGTATTAACTAAAGTTTCAGAGTCCACAATTTTTCATGTTCTTAAATAAGGTGTTATGGATCATTGTGTAAAGAGGCGAAAACAAAAATTTAAAAATATCGACGACAGCATGAGAGACGGAATTCGGCAGACAATATAATTTATATAAAGAAAATTGAGGACATAAATAATTAAAATATGTTGTTGGCCAAATGAACATATAACAGAAATTTTCTATACAATACAGGGTGGGCCACCAGTAACGCCTCGGTCGCTAGTGACCAAACGACGCCCATGAAACTCATTAAACTTTATTGGTAAGCGTTTTTATACATCTTCAACTGACTTCAGAAAGACTATAGCTTGCAGTTCAGTAACCAGCTATGAATACCTGGTCAGTACGTATACGACAAAACAAATTTTCTAATGCATTGAAGATATGAAAAATTTTTTAATTAATTTTTTTTTGCAAAAGATGAAACTTATCGAGTTAAATTTATAATCTGAACTATTATTCAGTACACCACCTCACTCAAATACAAGGGTACAATAAGGGAAATAAATAATTACAAAAATTGAAACACCATTGATAGGTATTGCTGATTATTAGTATGTACATATTTTGAAAAGTATATTGTGACAATTTTCCTACTTTATTAACATATTTCATCTAAATACAAAAATAATAAATGTTTATCTTCACTTCCAAAGTAAAATAACATTATGATCTCTTTCTAACTGATCTTCCAAATGTTGGGTAGTAACTCCAGTTGCACAACATATTTCATCCAAACTGGAAGAACCTGATAGACTCTTCTGTAAGTCAGGCTGATCGGTAAATAAAATAGGGTACTTATGTACTCTTCTGATAATATCATGGAGAATTCCAAATTGAACTAACTTTCTTTCATTTATTCTTAAATTTGGTGGATTAAACCGTATACATAAATCTCTTACTGTAGTTCCTCTTGTCATAGCTGAATACATTCGAAAGACATCTCTTAGTGTCGGTAGCTGTCTCTGCGATTTAGCAACATACTGTAAACATTTACTCTAGAAAAAATTCAAATAATAATTCGAGTTGAACAGAAACAAAATTTATATCAAACGCATCTTCTCAGTATTTTTTATTCAATTTTATTTTTACCTGCAATTCCACATCTTGTGCTAACATTTTTAACTTTGGTGTTGTACAATATACATTTCCGTATTGAAATAAAGGTGTTAACGCAACCACACCATAATATACCAAATTTTGTACACAAGCTTTTACTAAATTATTTTCCACATCAGATAATGCAGCTATGCGAGCAACATGGTTAAAACCATCAATATAAGGTGTTACTTGTTGAGTTGTTAAATCCCATTGTTGTTCAGGAAGTTCCTTAATAAATACAGGGACTTGGTGATCCATCACTGGTCCTGGATCGCTCCGAATTCTACAAACTTTGAGATGTGTTGCTGTTGGGCTTTCGGTTAGGGCACATTCACCTGTTTATAAAATGGCATTTAAAATCAATTTCTCAAGTATCACATTGCAATATCACATAGGTACAAAGCAATGGCAGCTTGAAAAAATAAAAGTGATAATTTTTTGACAATGAAACATGAGACTCATATAATATTTTAGGGAATAATTTCAGTTGATTATGAAAAAAATATATTTTACAGATATAAGCATAAGCACCTTTTGTAAGATCTCTGGGTCGGCCACCACTATTTAAATTTTTTATTTGGCAAATATTGTTTTAAATATTTTCATCATGAAAGTTCTCTATGTGAGCCTATAAATCATCCTCTAAAACAACATGGGTCCACGATTCAGTATAAAACTATGATCGCTTTAATTTTTGCCAGCAGTCGCTGATACCCAAAGAATGCATCTTTTAATTAAAAATTAAAAAATACTTTAGTCCCAAGTTATACAGGGTGATTCAGACATAATGTCATTAATTTTAAGAGAAGATAGAGAAAAATGAGTATAATACGATGGCGTGATTAAAAAAAATTTAAATGCATATTTAAGCTGAAAAAAAATATTTTCAAATCATTATTTAACCCCCTTTTCAGGCTGTTACTGACCGGCTGACGTCACAATATTATGCACGGCTACGATATGAACCTATGAACAACGCGCCCTAGATGCAACGTTGCCATATTTATATATTTTCGCTCATATAAAGACAATAAATAAACGGTTTTGCTCACGTCAACCAATAATAATTTAAAATGCTATAAATTATTTTTTATTTATGCAATCAACATATTAAATTGTTATTGTTGCCCAGCAAGAACCTCGAGGTCTGAGCATGCCTTGCCAAAAATCAGTTTTTATTAGCATCATAATTTTAATATTTTAACAACATTTGCTGTAANAATTATTTTTTATAATTATGCAATCAACATATTAAATTGTTATTGTTGCCCAACAAGAACCTCGAGGTCTGAGCATGACTTGCCAAAAATCATTATTTATTAACATCATAGTGATAATTTTTTAATTTGTTGTAAGCCTTCTACTAAAAAATGAAAGTAACGCGGCCCATTCAGATGTTCAGGTAGAAAATGCGGCCCAATTAAACGATTGCCATATACTCCTGCCCATACATTGACACCGAATTTCCTCTGAAAACTAAACTGACGAATAGTGTGCGGGTTTTTATCTGACCAAATGTGACTATTATGGCTGCAAAGAAATTAGCTAGTAAAGTGAAACAGCACTTTAAATAAAATTTAATATTGAAGTTGCAAAACTCCAAGAGTTCAAATAATTGAAATTTCCTTTCATAACCATTTCAATTTCATTACAGAAATAATGACATAAAAAGCCAACACTCACTAGATAAGTTATAAAGAGAGGGTGAAATGTATGTAGTATTTAAATATTGACTGTAAGTAATAGAAGATAAAAATACAATCGGACGGAGACAAATAAACAACTCAGTACGTGTTTCCGACCTAGGCAACCTGTGTCGAGGTCAATAACCTTCTAAATTGCACGTGTACTTTAGTCTAGGAGCCAGACAGGGTTCCATTGCCAACCAGAGTACCACGGCGGCAAACAACTTATTCTAAAGTATTTTGACTTGAATCCAAAAAACTTGGTCGCAAAGCCTGAAAGTGGTCAGTTTAATTGTTATCAACAAATTAAATGTTTAAATGGCTGCAAAAAGTTTATTTTTATAGCTAGTACACGGAACTTGAGCTGGCTCCTAGACTAATACGAACTATAGTAGGACCGTATTCTATGCAAAGTAGAGCAAAAAGTTGTCGGTCTTTTATCAAAGGAAAAATCGTGTCATCAAATTGAATGCAATGAATGGGATGATTGTTTTCGAATGTACGGTTATTACAATTTATCATTTTTAATATTATTAACGTTTTCACGTTTTATAATTTATTATGTTAAATAATACACAGTTTTAGTATTTCAATTTATTATTCAATATGCAATTGCATTTCTGTCTTTATTAAGCCTTCCGAATATGTGGTTAAAATTAATGACATTATGGCTGAATCACCCTGTATACATTATATTAAAAGTATACCATAATTTAAAATAATTAGATTATTTAAAATTATTTTACATGATTTAACATATGCAAGAAATGTCAAACTTAAATACCATATATCATGTCCAACAGCTGTCAGATTACCTTGGCAAACATTTGAATTTCATTGGTAAGTGTTGATTTATTTTTGTTAAAGGTATGTTACATACCAAGGGATTAAAAGGCACTTTAAGCCTGAGGTATATTGGTATTTTTGCACTCCGTGGCCTGCAATAAACAGAAATAATTATTAATTAAAATTTTTATATAGGTACTGATTTGGCATGGCATAAGTGACAATTCTCAAATATAGATGTCATGTCATACTTTCTAACTGTCAGATTACCTTGACTATCGTCTGATTTACTTTAACCATATTATATTTAATACTATTTTGCAGGTTGCAACCTAACAATTTCTCAAACATTACTGTGCAGAAGAATATGTCGGCTCGTGTTTTTGTTTGCACCTATGAAATCTGCGCATGCATCAAATTCAATATACTGGCCAATAGACAGAAGCGGTCGTTCCACGACAATATAATACAGCACTTTTTACAAATACAATTAAAAACATTTGTCAAAAATTTTATTTACAAGGAAATTGTGAGAAATACAGAAAAATGATGAGCTTGTATGACAAGATAACAAAAATATTTTATTAGTAGAATTTTTAATTAGTGATTAGGTACAAGCAGAATTCTTGTAAATGCTTTTGGGATCTTGACGAACCATTTTTGACTACCAAATTGTTAGTTGAGCTTTTGGCCAAAACATGCTTATCCTACATAATTTTGAAACAGAACAGAAGACAAAGATAAAATGACAACATAGACAGAGATCGTAGAGAAGATAGGATTAATTTAATAAAGTATCTTGAGGCGAAAGATCTTTTTAGAACTTTAATTAGTAAAATATTGAATGACCCGTTAATGTTAGAAGTTTTATGTTATTACTATTAGATCAATTTATATAAATATACATGTCTTCTGTTGATTTTGTCTTCAATATGTGGTTATAACCAAACATTAAATAAATAATTATTAAATTTAATTTTATAATTTATTTTCTACTTGATTTTGTCTTCAATATGTGGTTATAACCAAACATTAAATAAATAATTATTAAATTTAATTTTATAATTTATTTTCTACACAATGCCTGATTTACCTATAGGCTGCAGCCTACAGGCCCCCACCATGTTAACAAAAATTTTTTTTATAAACAACAAAGAAAATTATTCTGTTTTTTGGAGGGGAAATATATTATTTTCATTGTTTTAATTAAATCCTAACTGCCTTTTTTAAAACAAACAAGAAAAATATTTATTTCTTGCTCAGTGTTGTTGATTAAAGTTTTTAAAAGAACACCTATCTGTAGCGGGTCAGAATGTAGGTACTTAATTTTTCTATTTTTATGGATGATTGCTATTTTCAGGAAATCTATTAGGCCTCTTTTGTAATTTATATTGTAAACAATAATTACTTTACATTTATCCCAAAACATAATCAATTACAAAATATGTCTCCAAAAATAACTATTTATGGGATTTTTTGCTGTGAAAAATGTCATTATTAAGTCGACTTTAAATTTGGTATATATTCAGGTTTATCAAATTTATTGATTCAATATGATCTATGATACACATCACTTTGTTAATACCATAAGAAAAGGTGATAAAGCTGTAAAGATATAATTTTTTTTATTTAATTTCGATTAAATATGATTATTTAGGTACTTTATTTTCCAATACAACATACACCTAATTTTTTATCTTGGGCTAGTAAATTTCTCATTATTATCATTAACTGATATCTATTTAGTCATTTAATATATAAATAAATAGAATCATCTTTATCGTATATAACGTTTCATACAAAAAGCAAAGTTATAGCCTCATGGCTACTCTTCCACTTATACCACTTATCACTTATACTTGTATGTCTACTTATTTCAATAAAAGCCTTTGTTTTATATATTTGTTTAAATATTCTTTGGTGTTAACAGTATGGGAGCAGAAAAATTTTGAAACTTTTATATTTGTTAGCGCTTGAGTTAGGACGTTCGCAAACAAACAACTTTTCTAATCTTCTACAATGCATAAATTAGGTACATTTTTAACAGATTCTAAAATTTATTAATTATTTATTTATAATCAAATTTTTATATTTATTACAGAAATGCTATCACATCAAAATTGTTAAACGATCTTTGATGGTACTAACAGTTCCGATTACCATCGAGCCATAGTTTTTCTGGGTCTTTGAAGTGTGACAAACTTCAATTGGTGCATGTGTAAAAATACATTTTGCACAAAAAAATTAATAGTTCGTTTCCAGACTGTGATGTTTGTGAACAAATTGCCAAGAGAGAACCCACAACATATTTTATTTTTCCCTAAGGAATTAAAGAGATATTTTACTCACTGAAATGAATTGAAGGAAACAGTAATTTTAATTCACGGAGTGCAAAAACAAATTATAAAAGAAAATTAGCTCGATTTCTCACATATTAGGGAAAAAAGTTCTCTAAACTTATATTGAACAATGGGTAAGCGATTAAGTTAAATTTAATGACAAAAAATTATATACATCGAATTCACTTATTAATTACCTTTTGTATTCAATTCTTCCAAAACTTGTTTTAATATTGGTTTTAGCTTTACATTTGTTTTGCCACCCGATAAAAAGTTACTTTCCATTTCCATAGCCATTAAATAATCTGATAATTTTGTAACTACAGATTCATACTGCACTGTTCTTGCATCACTATCACAGACAAAACATAAGTTAAAGTGGAATGCATTTCGAGCATACTTTTTATCATCTATTCGCACAGGAAAGCCTAATATCTTATAATCTTGTAAAGTCCTAAAAATTAAAAGATAGGAATATAATTTATACTACGTGCATCAAATTCTCTTACACTGTTATGGTACTTCTTTGAAATTCAGCTTTCGTAATTATATAAACGCTTATGCTGTCAAATAATTCTTTGGAAATGAAATTATCTGGTACCTAGAATAGAATCAGTGTTTATGCTTTGTAATAGGTTTTAAACTTTTTTAAATATAGTACACTTCAAAAAATGTACAGATGTTTTAATTTACTTTATATAGTCTGAAGATGTTTTTACGAGTTTAATATGAGTTCAAATACACATTCATTTACAGAGCATGGTTAACTCAATCTGATTTTTGGAAATTATCATTATTACTATTTACTTAGAAGCAACTTTTCATGAGTACCTAGAGTTATTGTTATTACATTAAGTCGTTACTGTGATATATCTATTTGATCTCCACTAAATAATTACTATCCAATAAGTTTCTGAAAATGAGGCTCCTATACAAATCAATAAAAAAAAATATGTTACAAATATTATTTTTAAAATATAATTGGGAAAAAATATAATAAACATTGTAAGACCACTTATAGTTTTTCCGAAGTCAATTAAAGAACCAATAATTTCAAGGTATGTACCAGGCTCGCTCGCTAAGCAGCAACTCGGCATTGAAATATTTGAAAAAATTGTTCACATATTTAATTAGCCATACCCATAAACAGGTCTGGTCCAACTAAACATGGAGATGATAGAAATGTATACGCTCGGTTGAAGAATGCGAGCGCGTCCAAAGGAAAACGAGCACAGTTGTATTGAGCTTCTGGGCAATAAATCACAGCAGGTGAACAGTGGTTCATAAATTGCCCAGCAGTGCAGTGCAGCAGTACGGAATTTGGTGTGAATCAGGCAATTTAATTTATTATAGGTACCTTCTATCAATCATTCATATTACAATTGCGAAAGGGAGAAATAAGAGGGATATTTTGTTTACTAATATTATCACAACATGGCATTTTGGAGACCTTTTAAAACGGAACAAAACAAAATTTACCACCAATATAAAATAAAATAAAATTGTTTGAAGACATAAATAATTAAAATATGTTGGCCAAATCAAATGAACATATAATAGAAATTTTCTACACATTATATACAAATTATTATAATTTTTTACCTTTAAGCAGAAAATTTATTTAGGGATGCCTATGAAACTCATTAAATTTTATTACCACACGTTTTTTTGCATATTCAACTGACTTCGGAAGGACTATACTACACCATAGTATCACCATTTTAATGAATGGATATTATACAAGTATTAATAAAATACGTATAACATAAATTTTTTTATTTATCAACATAAAGTTTTTATTTTGCCAAATAAATATTCTGTAATTTACTAAACCAAGACATCTAACCTGACAAGATATTATCGGTCCAGCCGTTGGATGAAATTCACAAAAAAATATACACCTTATTGGTCCTTCTTTTGAACCATACTCAAAAAAACTTTTAACATTATTTAAATCCATTTTATCTTAACATGAACTGGAATTAGGCAGTAGTAATGAGCAATCACAAAATATATAATAGATGAGCAATGTTTTATGTTTTGATTTGCGATTTGACTATTTGACAATTTTGGCATTTCCATAGATTTGACAGTATACAATGGATGGAACATAGAGAGAGAGAGAGAGAGAGGGTAGGGGCCAAGACGTAAAATGAGATGAAAATAGTCACACGTCACGTGACTTGCAATTTGGCAAGAAATTGGCCTCAATGATTTGGGATCGAGAGGAATTATCCCTCTTTATTCTGCCTCAACTCGTGTAGGCCTGGACGGCCTTCGTAGGTGGGCCCCATCCGTCGTCTACCTCGACCGCAAATGCGGCGGGTGTAGGCGCTTTGTGGGACCTCCTTTTGACCTGGCTGGGCCCCGCCGGCTAGGGCCCATTCTTCTAGCGCTCTTCTTGCTTCGCCGGCTCGTCTGTGTAAACCCCGGGGGTGATGTCATGTTTATGGTTGGGTAGGGTAGTGCGGCTATGCAGCCTGGGATGCGCTTTGCTAAGGTGGCCCATAGGCTAGCGCGGGAGGCGAGCGGTAAGAAGGGTATGGGGGGTGTGTATGTGTGTGTGTGTGTGTGTGTGTGTGTCGCTGTCTTCGTTTCTTGATCCTGGCGGTCTCTGAAACACAAAAAGGTTAGCGGGCAGTGGGGGATGTCGTTGTGGTGGTCACCCAGGGTCCAAAGTTGGTGTCTAGGTCTTTTGTGTTTGTCGGTCATGGTCGGTACATAGTCAACGGCTTGCCTGAGGAGGGGATTGTCATGTCTAGCGGCTACGTCAAATCGTTTCTCCGCGTTTTGTCTTATCGTCTGTGTGTAGCGTCTTTGTATTGTAAGTCTCGTAATATGTCAGAGTTTCTTACGTACCAGGGCGCGTCTGTGGCCGTGCGGAGGGCCACATGTTTTCCACAGCCTGTAATGACTTTAAGTGGCTTTTTGCCGCGTGACCCCACGCCGTGGAGGCGTAGGTTAGCTGCGGTTGAAGTACCACCTTGATAAGCGTTCGCTTATTGCTTAAACTGAGTGTGTTTCCACCTTTGAGTAAGGGATAGAGCCTAGCCCTGGTGGTCTTCGCTCGCACCACCGTCTCCACGATGTGTGGTTTCCAAGTGAGACGCTGGTCCATCGTCACGCCCAGGTATCGTGTTTGTCGATTCCAGGAGATGGGTTCCTGGGATAGTGTCAGTCTGTCGAGGTTTTGTGGGATTTTTCGTTTGGTAAAAAGGATAGCCGAACTTTTGTTGGGATTAATTTTGACTTTCCACCTGTTGCACCAGGTTTCAAGTTGGTCTAAGGAGTTTTGGAGGAGGGAGACGGAATATCTAGGATCTACGGATTGGGATGTGATTGTCAGGTCGTCGGCGTATAAGTATATGTTGGTGTTGGGGGGATGTGGGATGTCGGAGTTGTAAATGGTGTATAGGTGTGGGGACAGGACGGTGCCCTGGGGGACACCGGCCTCCATGGGACGGGTGGTGGAAAGGGAATCTTGGATTTGGATGCGGAATTTTCGGTGGTGTAGGTAGGATTTTATGAGTTTGGTAAAGGATATGGGATATTGGTTGGTGAGCATTTTCATCAGTAGGCCTTCATGCCAAACCGTATCGAAGGCCTTTGCGACGTCCAGGAAGACAGCACCAGTGTACTGTCCCCTGTTGAAGGCCGCCGTGATGTGCTCGGTAAGGCGAAGGATTTGGAGTTCAGTGGAGTGATTGGGTCGGAAGGCGAACTGCTCGTCTGGAATGACTTGCAGTTCTTGGGAGTGGGTTCTTAGACGGGTTAGGATAATTTTTTCTACCACTTTGCTCATAGCCGGGAGCAGGCTAATGGGCCGGTAGTTGGATGGGATGGTGTGATCTTTGTTGGGTTTTGGGATAAGGATTATGTTTGCTGTTTTCCAGCGGGTAGGGAAGTGTCTTAGTCTGAGTGTCGCGTTTGTTATGTTTAGTAGGGCCATGAGGCCCTTGTGTGGTAGTCGTTTAAGTGTCGTGTTATGTATATTGTCGGGTCCGGGGGCTTTTCTGTTTTTAAGTCTGCGTATTGTCAGTCTTAGTTCGTCAGGTGTTGCGGGGGGGATTATGTCATTGTCTGGCTCTCTGTCGACGCGTCGGGCCGCGCGCTCAGCCACTATCTCGAATTCCTCGTCTTCGTCGGGCAGCTGAGGCAGTCTACACTGCAGTTCCAGGCTATCGGCGAAAGCCTCGGCCTTTTCCTGGTTCGTGTAAACCACCCCCACACTACCGTGGATTGGAGGAATTTTACGGCGAGCGGTCTGTCGCAGGGCCCTCTGCGTTTTCCAGAGGCTGTTGTCTTGTGGATCCAGCGACTCCAGGTGCCTAGCTCAGTTGTCCTATGCCAGTTCATCCAGAGCCGCCTTCACCCGTCTGTTAAGTACGTTTAAGTCATGTCTGTGTCGGGAGAGGCGGGTGCGGGTGGCAAGCCATTTCGCACGTCGTCTGTCACGTATTAAGTTTTTTATGTCATCGGGGAGGGTGCCCCGGGGGTTTGTCAGTCAGGGGATAATAGTCTCCGTCGTAGTCTGAGTCAGGGCGTTTTTAATGTCAGTCTCAAGGTTAAGGATTGCCGCCTCCAGATCATGGGTGGTTTCGATGACTGGGAGCGCGATGTTTCCTTGCATTACTGCTCGGAAGCGCTCCCAGTCAGTGAACCTCCTCGTGAAGGTGCCTTCATATCTCTGTCTTCGCCCCAAATCCAGAAATATTGGATTGTGGGCGGAAGACCCTTCGTATTGGGTGGATATTTGGGCATATAACGGTATGGATTTTAAGAGGGCAATGTCGATGACGTCGGGGCGTCCTACGGGTCCGTAATGCGTCGGTTCTGTCGGTTCGAGTATCGTCAAGTCGTCGTGTCTGTCTTGGTAATTCAGCAGGACGCAACCTCTTGTGGTCGTCGGCGTCGTCCCGCGGTGCCATATGGGGGACTTCGCGTTGAAGTCCCCGAACTTGCAATTTACAAGCTTAACACCCGGATGACGTGATATTGCGTATTTTACATATAGATGTGACAATAATTTTTTTTAATTGTTGTGTTACTACCAAAAAACAGTCCATTTCATAATCAGAAATAGTTTCTTTTAAAATCAATGTCGGTCGATTTGTATCCTAGGTCATGTAACATATTACAAACAAATAGCTGCTGCTTTTGTTGTTCATGTTGGACAAGTTACAAGGCACAGCAAGTCTGCTTTGACTCCATCAAAGGTTCAATCTATATACTGTCAAATCCATAGACATTTCAGACTTCGGCTTCGGAGCAGAGTTGCCAGACAAATTTTATCTATTATCGCAAATAGATGGAAATATAAGCTACTTTCCAATTGACAAAAAATGTACTTCGGGTGAACTTCAGAAACGCACCAGATTAACTTTTTGCATTCCAATAAGCTAGAATATTTTACTCTTAACGTGTTTCTACTATTTGTTTTCCCGCGCCGTTATTTTTGGCTAAATGATTTGAGACCAAGGAGAACTATCCCTCGTTGTCCTGCCTCATCACTGGACATCCTCGCGAAGGTAAGCCCCCGACACAGTATAAAAAACACTAAATTCACTCCCCTTTTTTGTGGACCACAACCCCACTGCTCTAAAAGTCTAGTAAAGAGACGCGTCCACCAACAAGCCCAACTTAGCTTTCAGCTTTTGAGGTTCCCCTACTTGCGCGTGGTCTCTGCTCAGTCACTTACAGCGACATAAAAAATGAAACAACAAGGGTCCATTTTTTATAAATAGGTTAGATAGGCAGTGAATTTACTGTGACCCCGACCACAAGCGTGGTTGGTGTGGGCTCTTTGTGGGATCTCCTCTTATCCTGGCTGACCCTCGCCGGCAGGATAGACCTCTTCTGATACTTTTTCATATTGTTTTTTTTTCTTCGCCGGCTTGTCGAAACCTTCGGGTGGTAGTCATCGTCGCGGGGATGGGTTTTTGGAAGTAGCGGTGTAGCTAAACGATGCGCGCGGTCATCAAGCCAAATGATTCGGTGGACTGGTGCGGGGAAGGGTACGTTATGGTAGCGCGAAGTTATTCCGCGGGGACAGGTTTCTGTCATTTGTCTATTCTTGTATTCTTGGTCCTGGCTGTTCTTGAAACTTAGAGGCCCGCCGTCATCGACATTGCCTTCTTAAAATCTATACCATTAAATGCCCAAATATCCACCCAATACGAAGGGTCTTCCGCCCACAATCCAATAATTCTGGATCTGGGCCGAAGACAGAGGAGGTTCACTGACTGGGAGCGCTTCCGAGTAGTAATGCAAGGAAACATCGCGCTCCTAGTCATCGAAACCACCCATGACCTCGAGGCGGCAATCTTCTCCCTTAAGACTGACAATAAAAACGCCCTGACTCAGACTACGACGGAGACTATTGTCCCTCGACTGACAAACCCCCGGGGCACCCTCCCCGATGACATAAAAAACTTAATACGTGACAGACGACGTGCGAAACGGCTTGCCACCCGCACCCGCCTCCCCCGACGTAGACATGACTTAAACGTACTTAACAGATTGGTGAAGGCGGCTCTGAGTGAACTGGCCCAACACAATTGGGCTAGGCACCTGGAGTCGCTGGATCCACAAGACAACAACCTCTAGAAAACGCAGAGGGCCCTGTGACAGACCGCTCGCCGTAAAATTCCTCCAATACACGGCAGCAGGAAAAGGCCGAGGCTTTCGCTGACAGCCTGGAACTGCAGTGTATTGCCTCAGCTGCCCGACGAAGACGAGGTGTTCGAGACAGTGGCTAAGCGCGCGGCTCGACGCGTCGACAGAGAGCCAGACAATGACATAATCCCTCCCGCAGCCCCTGACGAATTAAGACTGTCAATCCGCAGACTTAAAAACAGAAAAGCCCCCGGACCCGACAATATACATAACACCACACTTAAACGACTACCCCTACTAAACATAACAAATGCGACACTCAGCCTAAGACACTTACCTAACCGCTGGAAAAAAGCAAACATAATCCTTATCCTAAAACCCAACGAAGATCACACCTTCCTATCCAACTACCGTCCCATTAGCCTGCTCCCGG